GCCTCCAGGTTCAACTGTCCCCCTCTTACAATGCTGTGATTGCTAGTATCACTCAGCCCTCTGTGAACAGTAAACAGCCATCAGGTGCTAATGATCCATTGTTAAGCTGATGGTCCTTCTTGAGCATGTGATCAGCTGGTTTTGGTTGTCAGCAGCAAAACTGGTTGATCCACTCTGAGAAGGTGCTATTTAAGAGACTGAGCTGAATACAGCACCTCAGACTGAGGAAGTCCTTTGGATGAAAGACGAGACGTTTCTACGTTTTTTTTTTTTTTTAAATGTCCAGAGGACCAGATTGAACTTTTTTGGACTATTCAATTTTAACAATTCATTTAAGGAAATGAAGTCAGTTTGTCCTCTAGTAGTCTAAGTCTATAGCAGCATAACAAGCCAACCCTAACTATAGGATTTATCAAAAAGGAAAGATTTAATCCCATTAATGGAGGAGGAGCGTACCAAAGAGACCATCTTATCACAAGCAGAGCTGGTTTGTTCCACTTTGCAGTAAGCTGTTGGAGGAAGAATCAGTTTTGTTGTGTGTTTCCTTGACTGATGAAGCCTTCTGGATCGAAGGCGAAACGTTTCAGCACAAAAAAAAGAAGCCGTCCTGATGACCCGACTGAAAAATGTTGGATTGTATACCTGGATTATTGAGCATGGACTTTGTTGTTTGTTCTTAATCCCAGTCTTAAAACTGGATAATATAGTTTAGAGTGAGACCGTCATGTTGCAATCTCTGGTCCTGCTCTTATCTGTCTCTACCGTGTACCAGAATGTCAGCAGTATAACGGATGACTCCATCAACATGCTCCAGCATCTGACTGATCCAGTGTTTTAGGGTTTTTTATGTTCTTTGTGTTTTATATGTTCAAAATGAAAAATTAATCAGTTGAGCTTGATTAAAAAAATGAATGTATTCTCCATCGTCTGTGACATTCTCCTCTGAAAACGTTCTGGAACTGAAGCTATGCCAGAAGTGAGTCTGCTGAACAGGTATCTCCCAAAAGGTGTGATGAAGTTTGTAAAGAGTAATGACGCAGGTGTGAGGGGGATTTTCCAAAGTCTTCATCAGGCTTCAAGCTTTGTAACACTGCAGCATCTTTCATCATGGCTAATGTTTGATCCACTGCTGGAAGAATGTGACGTTCTCTTTTCACAACAGCATTCAGGAGTGTGAGATGGACACAAACCCTGAGTGGCTTTTTGCAGGTTTTCGGATGACAACCATACCTGAAGATCACGCTGATGGCTCTGTGACTTTTGAAATGACTCCCCTCTCCTCCCCTCTGTTCACCTCTGAGAGGAACAGGATACATTGGGGGCAGAGAGAGCAACCGGTGCTCCTTGTTCTGTCTCTGTGTGACATGGCTCTCTCAGCTTGTCGAAACCCCCAAAAAGCTCATAAGCTTGACACAATTTTTTCTAACAGGTTTTATGAGTTAGAAAAAGTAAAGATATTTTGTAGTCACCATCTTTCATGTCAGAGTTTAAAACTGAAAGTTCTCTTGTTGAGTAATGACAGAGATGAAGCTGTTTGGGTCAAACTGCGAAAAAAGTTACGTGAAATTTGGTGTGATTGGAAGATGTCACGCTCAGTGTATGCATTGTGAATGACTGTCAGTTACTACCACATCACATTTTAGTTTAATACCTCCACCTGACTGAGTCAAAGCCACTTTTGTTTTCTAAAGTCAGCTGAATGTGGCAGCCATTTTGAATTGGCTCGTAAAGCTAATCATTTGTACATCCAATGATTATTCCCCAGAAGTTTCAAGAAAATCTGTCCCATGATTTAAAACATTTTGATAACGGAGTTCAATCCAAATAGTTGTTGACAAATCCTAAAACAGGGACCTTGCACAGCGTGTTGGCTTACAATAAGTTGTATGTGTGTGTAAAATGTTGTCGAATGATCAGTCTCACCCATTAGCTCACCAAATCTTAGGCCAGGTCAGCCATCTAGAATCACTTCAACTTCAAAAACAATCAGTTGTAAATGCAAATTTGCTAATTACTCTCAGAAAGTTCCCTTAAATGTGTCGGTGCAGAGGGTAAACCTGTCCACCTTTGAACTTTACAGCTGTAATGTTGATTCTGAGACACTACTTCCTGTTTCAGTCACTAATCTTTACTGCTTACCTGCTGAACATGAATCAGTCATGGCTTTTCCTTGTTTGGATGTGTGTTGGTGCAAGCCAGTTTGTTTTGCTTATCTGTTAGCAAAATAGTGGCATGATGGCTGAGCTGGTAGAGCTGCTGCCTCTCAGTGAAAAGGTCGCCGGTTCAAATCCTGGCCCAGGTCCTTTTTGGGTAGAGTTTGCATGTTCAATCCGTGCTGCGTGGGTTTTCTCTGGATACTCCAGTTTCCTCCCACAGACCAAAAACATGCATGTTAGACTGATGGTAACTCTGAATTGTCCCGAGGTGAGAGAGAGAATGTTTGTTTGTCTCCATGTGTCCCTGTGATGGACTGGAGACATGTCCAGGTGAACCCCACCTCTCATACAGTGATAACTGGATATGGACACCAACAGCCACTGTGACCCGAAAAGGGAAAAGTGGGTAAATGTAATGAATAGATGTTAGCAAAATACCTTATGAATTACAGAGCAGAATCTATGCAAGCTTTCAGAAAGTATTCAGTGGCTGAACATCTACAACTGACTAACATTGGAGTTAACCTAATTCAAGATGGCCACCACAGCAAAGTGATCTTAGAAAAGCCACAAATGGCCATGACTGAGCAACAGACAGGTATGGCAGGAGCCATGACTGAGCA